CAGCTAAAGCTCTGGCTAAACACTGCTCTCCAGCAAAATTCATCTGCCTGCCCACACACTTTTGTTACACAAATTTGTCTGCAACAAATTAGTTACTAGAGCACATGGATTTATTTGCATGATGTGGAGAAAGAAATCTCACTTTTTGTTGCAACTCTCTCGTCCTGCAGGCATAAATTATGGAATCAGTTTGAGGTTTTCAAGTAACTAGAGCGTGTTCTTGGAATTCCTGGGAGTTGCAGGCTGAGATCAGGTAACTGGAACACAATTGGTTTCGCCAATCCAGAAAAACAGATGCTTTAGCTTACATGTAATTTCAGGAATTGGATGACTGAAAGGAAAGTGTTAGAGAACTGCTAAACCTCAGTGGATCAATAGATTATGTATGTTGGCAACCTCCTTCTTGTCATACTGCAACAAGTGCAGAAAGCTTCCTATGGTTACAGGCAACCTCATGTTATCTTGCTCAGAAGCCCATTTTCCTTTTTTAATCCTCACCCTCTTCTGTGACAGACTTTTTAGCTGAACCAGTTTGCCTCCCGATCCAACTTTCCAGTTAGATGTTGCTTAAAAGCTATGTTTATGTTTTAGCATGAGCAACTGTTTGTTAATAATTTGTTAGTGAACAACTGTTTGTTAATACTTCACATCAAGAACTGTTAGCTACACAAACATTTGTTACCCTTCAAAATATCCTTCCATATATAAACCCTCTCCACATAACTCCTGTGGAAAAGGTTGAGTATTAAATGTAGTTTGCGTTTGTTTGGGGTTTTGTTTTGTTTTTAAAGAGCTCATCACATCATGGATTTCTATCGGTTTCACATCAACTGTGGTGTGACATTTTCCAGCTTCTAGCCCTCTGGTTCCAGCTGCTGCAGCCTGGCCTTAAATTTGCATGGGGGGAGGGAGGGTTCATTGGAGTTGCTTCAAGGCTCACAAACTGTTGACACAAGGCAGACATGAAATGCCTCATTGAACCAACTCCAGGCCCAATAAATGCAAACAATTCAAAGCTGAAACTATCTGGCAGCTGTAGCTGATTTGAGAAAATTTTTGTTGTGCCAGGAAAGTCTTTTCCTTCAATGAGGTTGTCCCTGGAATACATTAGGAGCCACTAAACACAGAACAATATCCTTGGTAAAGAGATTATTTTCTTCTCTGTAGTATCACTTAAGATAGGTTGGAAAATTCGTATCATTCAGGAAGGGTGAGAAAAGCCTGAGATGCTACTTTTGGTTTACTAGTCAGTCACTACATGAAGATGTTTGAATAGGCAGAGGTCTACAGCTGCAAGCAAACATGAAATCGTATGGGGAAACATGGAAGCAGCAAGGGGAAAAGGGAAGGCGGCTATGATGTGCTCAGAAAGTATAAACACCCATTAATCTCACTGGGATTAGGGAACAGCCGTAACTACGTGGACTAGGGCACATGAGGGAGATCTGGTCAATCCTACATGTTTTGCTGAGTAGTGGCATGAGCTACCACTTGTTTTTGCTCTACTCCCATCTAAGGAGGTGCAGAACACGAGTAGGACCAGAGCAGCAGCACAGCCGGCTGACAAGGGGCTTCTGTGACCCGAACCCAGCCGCCCTGTTTCCCACCTCACTGCACAGCACTGGGGCTGCACCGTGCAGGCAACCAAGGGAGAGTGACAAAACCAACCATCGGAGATATTTCCCAGTTGCTCTGGTATAGAGGGGCATGGGCAGAGGGGTGAAGGCAATTGTGTGGTACAGAGACGGGCTAACTGTGCAACATCGAGCTAACACCACCATTTCTAATGGGAAGTGCAGATTAGATCTGAATGGAAGCAGTACCTTGGACTTCATGCAACAGCATTTCTAGAAATGTTTCATTTGTCCTCTGGGGCGAGGTGGGGGCTGCTGCAGCACATTCTCTTCCACCTACAGCCATCAGCCTGTGCACAAGACCCCAGGTTTCCTCTGCCAAGTGTCACAACCATACCAACAGCAGGACATTGAGATGTCCTGCAGCGGCACGGTGCCTGTTGCTGCAGCCAAGAGGCTGTAGCACATATGACTCTGCAGTCATAAATGCCACTGGAAAAGCAGCAAGGTGGTAACACTTCACCACAGTCTGTTCCAAAAGCAAGTCCATCATGAGCCATCCACAATAAAGCAAGCCAATCACTACTTGACACTGAAGGTTTTTTTCATAATCCTATTACAGAAAAAAAAAAAAAAATTTGCTGTCACATAGTATTTCTTAAAGTTACAGTGATGGCACAAAGTACAAATTCACTACAAATATTTGCAACTTGCAGCCTTCTCAGAAACACAGCTACTACCCTGGAAACAAGTACAACAAAAATAGCTTACCTCCCATCATTGGGGAAGGCCGTGAATGCCACTAGTCAAGCTCTGCTTGGGCAGCTGCCTGCGCTCACCAGACTTTTAAGAGGGAAGCTGGTGGACAACGGGCTGCTCTGTTGACTGCGTCTACACAGATTTACATGTACCCTCATTTTCATAATCATGCATCCTCACAGTGCCTCTTTTCAAAGCCGTCTGACCTATATGTGAGAAGTAGCAGTTATTTTCTTGGTGAACTGAATTTCTTGGTACAACTGAATGGTGTAATTTTTTTTAAGAAAGGTCTCTGATGAAGTTAGCAAAGTTGTCTTAATTCTGATATAGAGCGCCCAACAACACACATTTACCAAAATGAAGCAGACAACTGAAGGAATTAATAGCAAAGCAGCAACATAGGTGAAGCTTGTATTTGAACAGCATGTTCTAATTTAGGTGGGTGGTGGGGGAAGAATACCAACCCTTCTGGCAATCATACCTGTCTCACTTAAGGCCTCTACATAGTTAAAAATAAAGTTTGAGGAGTTACTTCATTGTCTCCATCTGCTTGGTGTGCAAGACATTGAGGTAAGAAACATAAACCAGTTTACAATTGTGAAGTACAGATTTGTGCCAATACCTATGCATTTAACATTCTGGTTTGCTTTATTTTGAAACTGGCCACATAGAAGCAATGGCGTAGCCTCCTGGCAAACAGCTAAACCCAGCTGTATGTCACCTGTGGGCAGTCATTTTCGGGGGGGATTCTGGCTTTATTGGGCTCAGCAGCAAGGACAGCTCCTGGTTTGAAAGGCAAAACTGTGCCGGCTGCGGGCTCACAGAGATTGTCAGAAGCACCCTGTCTCCATTCTCCCTGCAAGCTCTTCCTCTGCTGCACCTTCCTCGTTTTAGCAATACCTATTACCCGTCTGGTAGAAACCAAGGCACGTCAAAGAGAAAGAAAACTGCTGTCATGAAACTCAGGAATGCTATATGGGGGGAGAAGGGGGAGGAAGCAGCAGATATAAAATGTGAGGAGGGAAAAGCCTTAGGAAGTGAACAGATCTCTTGGAAAATGGGGAAGAGAGCAACAGTGGCTTGGACAGGTATTTGTGAAGCAGTGTTGTGTCCAGCTCAGGAAGCACGATTCTCTGAGTGCTGAGAGAGGATTATATTCCATCTACCTTACTCCTGCTCATTTGTTTACTCCACCAGATGGGAAAATCTGCATCCAAACAGCAGAAATGCACAGAAACATGAGTATTATCTCTACCTTATTAAAAGTCTTGTCTCACAAGCTTAATTAGGTTTATCCCCACCACAAAATAAATTTCTTAATACTTCACTTTAGGTACTTCGTTTTAAAGATGCAGCATTTCTGTTAGTCTTTTACACAATCCCAATATATAAATACGGCATATAAAGACAAGTACTCATATTTTGTATAGTATATTTATAGCTGACAAAACTGTTGAGTGCCTTGGAATTTATGAACCAGCTTTCACCCAAAAATACATTAGTAGTGTAGTCAAAAGTTGAAACTGGCTTTAAAAATTCTCAGTTACCAATAATCTCTACTATCCCAAAGCAGTTTTTCTAATGTATCATCTATTTTGATTGAAATTGATTGAAATACAGCCTGAACCTTGCATATAAAATTTAGCATTTGTCTATTAGAAACAGTGGGAGTTTATCAATACATTATGTTACACCTCAGTGGTGTTAAGATTCAACAATTTCCTAGATGCTTCTATTCTACTGCTCTGCTGCTGTCTGTGGAACAGGAGGCAAAGATAAAACTGGGCACTTGGAAAAAAAGGACTGTTCTTGTAACTACAAACTTAACATACCTGTAAATCATCTTTAGCTTGATACTGAAATCTACTAAAAAGCAGGCACTATATTTAATCAGATCCATTATGATTCAAGAGTTAAGGGACTAACATGCATGGGTCACATTACTACAGAAGTATCTCATAACCAACAGTAAGAGTAATTCAAAGTGAGAACCCATGAACACAGCCTGAAGCACTAGTAATTACTTCATATTCCAGGTGATTTGGCCTGACTAATGTATAGGATTATTAATGAAAGTAAAACTCTCTCTAATGGGGAAATCCTTATTGTGCTTTTTTCAAGGAGACACCAGGTTTATACCACCTCTGGAGATTAGCTTAATTAGTAAATAGAACAGCCTAGTTGTGTGTTTTTTTAAAAGCTCATGACCTTCTGTTGTGCCAACACATAAACATCGCAAAATAAACACACCGTACTTCTGCAAAGAGACCTTTAACAACTTCCGTTACTTTTTTCTAGTACAGCATACATACATACACAAGTTTATATGGTGGTAAGTGATGACAAAATAGATCTTCTCTTTCACAAAAAGAAAGTCTGGGTTTGTGACAAGGCTTTAGAGAAAAAGTGAAATAATAACTACAAGTTTTTAAAAAGCCAGTCTGGCAACAATTGTGGATAGCAGGTCTTATCTTACTTGGCAGCTGGTAGGTAGTTCTGATTATTATGAAAGGCAACTGGAGAGGCTTCCCCAGGAGGAAACCTATCTTATCTTCTAGTTTTCCTTTATAAAACATCAGCCTGCTGGATAATGAATGTGAAAACACATGACATGTTCAGGACAAACATCCCTCAGTGCTTCTACTAAGGGAGCATCTCTCAAGATTGAAAGGAAACCACTATTCATGCTCTTTCAACCACCCACTAGCTACCAACTCAGCAGTTCTGATGCAATGAGAATTCTGATGTCTGTGAGGCAAGCACCTATGTGTTGTTATAAGCCAACCAGCTAAAATCACTTCAGAGAGGTCACTGAAGAGTCCTTGAATGGGAAAAACTACCAGTTAGAATGAAACTCTAACAGAGAAGTTCCCATTATCCAGCACCTGCATTGTTTGGTCCCTATTTACCTAATAGGTAAGATACAAAACACAGTAACTGCAAATGCTTACACATTTAAAAGACAAAGGCTGTCACACCGTGTTGATTAAAACTAGCCCAGAAAACTGTACTTGGAGCTGAGTATTTCAGCATTGAGAAATGTGGAGTCACTGATAAAAAACCAGAAAGAAGCTTGACTGAAAAAGTTGTAGATCTTCTTATGAGAATCAGTCCAGTCCAGAAGCATAGTTCACGTAACATCGAAATTCATTGGCTAAATTTCGTGAGTGCTTTGGAATAAACTTGCATATCTTCACACCAAGATGCTTTGCTGCCTGTTCCTCCATGATTGCACCTGCAGCAAAAATAATTAGTAGTCGATGAAAAAAAGGGTAACACAACGTTTTGGGCTTTTTTATTAGCTCCTCCCAAATGTATATATATAGAGCCTGCTTTTTTTAAGGAAGCAAGGCTTAAAGCAGCTACGCTGTCAGTCCTCTTTAACAACTGAATCTACTGGGAAATGTAAAATAAATCTGAAAGAATGGAAGACGCCCCAAGGAAACGAATGTCCAAGAAGTTTCATAAAAATAGGTAGAGCGTAAGATCAGTGCCCCTTTTATAGAAAACAGAAACTTGAACTCAATCTTCTTGCTACATGCCAAAGAAATTACATGGTAGGGAGCCATGGGAAATGCGAAGATTACATACACTCTTCCACTTAAATAAACTGCAGTGCAATATTTACAGCTACACACTGAGAAATCACTTCCTTGAGCAGTATTTCTCAAACTTTGTAAACTGAAGGACCACCTATCCATGTAAGGGAAAAAATTTCTCAGAACCATCCTTGTGCATGACTGCCACGTGCAATTAAACAAAAAAGTAGGCTTTCTATGGCCATATGTTACTTTAATCTTTCTTTATTTTGCCTGCTTGAATTCCCTCAAATTGTACGTATAGGTTTTTGTCCGTTGTTTTTTTGCAAAAGTTGCCTCGATGTCTTCAGATATCTTGTAGTAAGATTACAGTTTAAGAAACACCATGACTAAGGCAGATACTCATAGCTTCTTAAACCAGCAAGTGCATCTTCATAAAGAAAGACCTATGAGTACAGTTGGTAAGTTATCCAGTTTCACTGCTCGTATCACTGTTTTTTAATTCTTCCTGCTGTATTTCAGTGCCTAAGATCTCTTTACTTGAATCACAGTGGCAGAATCCCCTCATACGTTCATTCACACTACAATTTCTATGTTTACCAGTAAGGACAGGTAGTATGAAAAAAAAAAAGGTGACTTTGTTTTTCTTTTCAAGACTTAGCTAAAATCATCCCACTTTACTCAGCAAAGGCCATTCCAACCTATTTGTCATTCTTTCTACTTAGCTCACCTTAGATGCCAAGTAGTATGTGGCAGCTGAAATCCTGCAGCTACTGACATGTTTAAAAAATCACAAATTTGTAAGGTTACTGAATAAGACATTAACAATAAGTTCCACCTATATTTGTCATACCCAGATTTCAATCATTGCAATTATGGAGAGCGGCCCTTTTACAAGAAAAAAATAATTCTGGAACTTTGCAGGATGATCTTACAATTCTTCAAAAATTCAGTAAAACTTGTAATGCCATATGAAAAAAGTACTGACTTCAACTATGAAAAACCACAGGCCTTCAGTTTAAAATAAAGGTTGAACTACAGTATTCCAATAAAAAGCATACATATTCCTCCTTAAATTAACCATAAATTAGTATTATTGAGTTAGTATTTTTCTCACTTGAGTAAGTTTGTCTTTTGAGAGAAAAAGATGCTTAATGGTGACCTAACATTTTTATTAATTATACCTGTGCAAAGCAGAATCTTTCCTTTTGTTAAGTATTTGATGGTCTCTGCAGTTTTTTGCAGACATTCCTCAGACAGATAGGGTGGATCTGCTATTACGATGTCAAAACTGTGTGGCAGGAGATTTTCAGGTAAGTTCAAAGGGTGGTTGTAGTCATAGAAGATAAATTCTTCTCCATATACAGAAAACCTTCTGTCATACTCCAGTATACACACTGAAAAATCTTTACCATCCTGTTCTTTCAGTTTCTGGTACACACTCGGTGCGCTAACACATGCTATCCTGAAAAAGAGACAATAACTTAGAATACTAATTTAAAAGGCAAGCAGCAACAACAACAAAAAAACCCCCTACAACAATCCTCAGGGCTGCTTTGGGAAAACACTTTAAACATTAGTCCCAAAAATGTAAGCTATTCTTCCTCCATTCTAACAAATAATTACTTTAATAACAGAGTTTTAAGTATTAAAGCTATCACCTGTTCAACCTCCATGCTGCACAAAGACCTTGAGCTTAACTACAGAGAAAATCCTGTTTCAGAACAGCAAGGAAATATACTGGAAAACTTAAAATTAAAAATAACTTCTTAGAGAAGTAGGAAGAAACCCAAGTTTTTCCATCTGTTCTACAGAAACATTGTACGAAAACAGAAAAGAATTACAAGTCATTAATATGTTTTGGAGCTCTTTGTGTTTCTCAAAAAATAAAATGATTCATAGTAAACTTTTACAAGGCAGAGCCTACAACATTCAATGAAATGCTAAATAGTAAGGTCAGTATGAACTATTAATTAAACAACATCAAAGCATTTCTGCAATATCTCAGTTGAACAAAGATGAAGTACAATGAGTAATGAATTGAACTGCATGGTCTGTCTACATAGTAGAAACAAAATACTTACAGAAAAGACATGCTAAATCTACAATGTAATTATTAAAACCTACCTGCCACCTTTTCCAGCTGCCACAACCGCTTCATTAGCCAGGCACGATGCAGTTTCATCACTGTACCAAAACTGGCTCAGTTGCTGAGAAATGCAACGCACAATTACAAACAACATCAAATCTTCTGCCTGTGCTATGTACAGGTAGGTGTGGTGAGTCAGAGTTGAAGAAAACCAAAATCCATAGCAAATTCTCAGTTCACAAACTGTAAAGCTGGAAAGGTGACTGTTTTCCTTACAGTCTTTTACTTCTGTAATCCAGCGACACGCAGCAGGTAGCTTACACTGTGTTTGCAAAGCATTTACTACAGTATCAGGAAAACCAAGTAATGCAAAATCACTGACGAGGTTAGTTCAAACCCAATATGCAGATGGAAAATATTTATGTGCTCTTAAATTGAGTTACGTTAGTGGAAGAGGAAAATGGAACCTGAAAAATGACAGTATAGAAGGAAATAAAGGATAAAAGTACTAAGTCGGAAGAGATCAGAAAAAGGAAGACTAAAAAAAAACCAACCCAGAGACAAATCAAGAATCAGTCTGTCAGAAGAAAAAAAAGCAGCAAAGCAACCATCCACAAAACCAAAGAAATAAAACACAGAAAGAAATACGATGTGAAAGATCACTTGATCTTGTTACACTGTGTTTGTCTCAAAGTCAGGGAAAAATCTTTACTACCTTCACATGCCAGGCTGGAGTTAAAATTTCCAGAAGGGATAGATGCTTCTGTTGGTAGCTTTACTCCCTCTCCATGTAATTTCAGTTTGTACCCCCCAAGCACACGTAGAACAGACAGCTATACCCAGATTTAATATTCAAGCAAATATCCCTACAGTGTTGCTGTGCATGAATAGTTTGATTTTGCTCCTCTAGAAACATCTTGAGTGTTCCTCTTTTTAATTTCATTTCATCATCCATCCACAAAAGAAACTTGGTAAAGGCTACTCCTCTAACTGCTTCATTCACTGAAGTTTATAGTTTCTTACCCAGTCTTCTTCTATTGAGCCAATGGAATATTGATTAAACCCTTGGGAGGTCTTCATGCCCTCTCTCTGCTGCTGTTCCAGATAGAACTCCTGGAGGGCAGCCAATGTATGGGATGAAAGCTGGGGAATGTCATCATCATCATCATCATCCATTTTTCTAGACGTCAACCAGAGGAAAAAAAAAAAAACCTAATTAAATTAACCCTTTTCGATGGTGAATGCTTTTTATAATGGCATAGTCTCCTGAGGTAAAACCACCTCCACCGACAATGCAGACTTAGTGTAACAGCTAGCTAGGAAAGTCTCCTAACAAGAGAAAACATGTTTCCTCTACTTAGGAGCTCTTAAACCAGTGAGAGGCAGATTGGAAATAACAGATCTCCAGAGAGAATTCAGGAACAGCAGCAACACTGTTCCCTTTCTGTCCAACACAATTGCGTTGTATTCTTACAGGGAAGTTGTCATTGCAGTTCTTGATTTCCTGAATCCATACACCCTTTTTGTATCAGCTTGCACAAAAAACCCCCCCCCTTTAGTGGGTTTGTCAAATCCTATAGAAATTATTCCCTTCCTTCCTAGAAATAATGATAGCTACTGGTCTTTCCTTCCAATGTTCGAAAGTCACACAATTCTGACTCAAAATGAAGTAAACTAGCATTCTAGTATGAGCATCACCTGGCTTTAACTTCCACACCATAAAAAGATTCCTCTGAATGCCTGAAACCTTCTACGAACAAAAGCAGGCAAGAAGCTCAAGAAGATGTTTGTCTAAGGCAATACTACTTGACTGAAAAACTGTGTATTTTGTGCATAAGAACACGGACATAACTCGTATCAGAAAGACACAGTATATGGTAAGGGAAAAGTACAGGCATTTTCAGAGACCTCTTGACCTGGGTTATGCTGCACAGTATCACTCAAGCCTGCGCACCCCAGGCAGCTCAGCAGCATCTGCCCAGAGGGAAAGCTGGAGCGCTGGTGTCCTTCCCAGAGGGACAGTGCCACCTCGCGGGACAAAACCAGGAACTCGGCTTGTGAGAAGTACTGGAAAAAAGCGGAGAAGATTCTTCTCTCAAGAAACCCATTTTCTCTGTGTCTGATCTGAGAACCAGTACACGAGCAATGACTTCAGCAGAACTTGGAAACGGGCATACGCCTGCCTTCATGCAGAAGTCACTGAGAGAACCGCGTGCCATCTGAACCGTGTGTAGCTTCAAAAGTTAAGTATAATTTGAAGTATGGCTGCTCACGGGTTTTCTTCTCCCCCTTCCCTGCATTACCAGAACTCCAGAATTCGGGGTCTCCTCCCCTTCCACCCTTCCCTCTGTGCTGCTCGCCCTAGCAGAAGCTTTCAAGACATTTCCTAAAACACACCTACTCCCTACTTGCTGGAAAAATGGTACCATTAACCTGCCACTGCGAGATAACTCATCAGTATTCACTAGAGTAATTACTCTGCCATTCCGCTGATGCGGTACTCACCTACATGTGGTAAGAGTAAAGTGCTTGGCTTTTCCAGAGTATTGTTTATTGACTTGCTGTCTTCTCAGGCCAGGTTGGCCAAACAGGGAATCGTTCAGAGCCTAAAGACCCATCTATGCCACTAGCCTCACGCAAGAGGAGAATTCTGGAGGCAAGCTACCTAGTAAAACCCAAATAGCTAATTTTGTCCCTATTTTTTTGTTGAATAAAACATAAATGCTTTAAAATTATTTATAAATTATGTATTATTTAAAGTATTTACTATTAAAATTACTGCAAGTTCACACAGATAATATAGTTTCTATCAACAATGCTCTAACAATATGTAATGCTACAATCCATTTTAGGCCCCATACAGGAACTTTTTCTGTTAGGACAGATGTTAGACATTTAAAATCACTCCTCATCTCACAACTTGCTTTTTTATTATGTGCATCATACATGTAGTAATCTGGTTTGCTATTATCACCTAGGCAAGGACACATCTATGCTTTGACACTAAGAAACAGAAACAGATGCAAACCTGCAGTTCTAAGTCAAAAGTTGAAATTTTGATTTTATGTTCAGTGAGCCTATATAGGCATTTGCAAGGATTAAATCCATGCCCATGAAATGAAACCCTCACAGATAAAATTGCTGATGAAGCATTACCCATTGTTTCAGTAGATAAAAAGGCATACAGCCACAGGCATCTTTTTTCTATAAATATTTTTTTAGTTGATTTTTTAATAGTCTTCCTTCTGGTTTGTAAATTAAAGTCTTAGGAACCAAGCAGTAATTATCTGTGAGGTTGCAGTGAGAGGCAACTCAGAACATATGGTAGAAATATGCTGTACATCTATTAAGAACACTTTCAAAATTCAAGGTATTTTTCTGAACATACATATGTTGTCTACATATACTGACTTAGGTCATTAGCATGAACACATTTTCATGCTCAAGAACTACATCAGAAAACTATTAAAGTAAGTGAGTTTATGTGAACAAGACTTGTAAATTCCTTTGCCTTCAAGGGAGAAAGTTCTACTGTTTGAAAGCCCATCTATGCCCCTCCCAGAGTGTTCACTGCTCTCAAGTCCAGAAAAAACCCTAAAAATTTTTGGGGGGATGGACGACGAGAGGAAGCAGAGAAACCCACAGTGCCTCTGGCGCTTAGAGAACCTTTAAACTCTATTAACTCCCCAGGCCCTGGAGCCCTGAGGCTCCAGCTGGCCCATCCGCACTTGCCCCAGCCCCTGGGTTCCCCAGGAGCAGCCGGCTCTCTGTCCTCACACAGGCTCTCTACGAGAGCCCCATGGGGGGACAGGGTTGCATTTTAGGAATGCCCTGGGATTCAGAGCGTTCGTAACACATACGTTGCTGATAGAGCCATATTACCTACATGAAACCCTTGTATTAATAGGAATACAAGGTTTAAAACTAGCAACATGACAAATCTTCTTTACTATTAACTCTTAGCTTAGGTGTTGCGTTTCCACCTAATTAAAAAGCAAAACAAGAAATCAGATCTCCAAGAATAGCTCAAGAACACTGCATACAGAGTTTGGAAAAATAAGACTCATGGTGATGTCAAAGTTCATCTGAAGGAAAGCAGGAAAAAAAGGGGGTAAGCTCCCACAGATACAGTAGAACATGAACAGGCAGGGTTGTGTTCATAGGGTAAAATGGCAAATTTGAATGCTACTGGCCTCTAAAGGGCCAGATCTACCCATAAAACAGGAAAAGTGAGGTGACCAACTACACCATGTGGCTCTCACAGTGCAGCAGGCAGGATGAATGGGGTGGAGGTGCCTGCAGACTCCTTCGTGCCTTCCCCTCTACACAGCTCAATCCCTCTCTTATTAGCTGATGAACTGTTCAGGTAAATGTCATCACTACAGAGTGAAAGCTCTTAAAAGAAAACAAAAAATACATGAAAAGAGCTAATACCAAGTAAAATAGTAGCACAGGAGACTCCAAGGCCTTGTCTACACAAGAGTATTGCATCTATTTAACATTAGTTTCCAGCTGTCATGTATGAAAACTCTGATTTTATATAGCCAAATTCTGAAGTGGAGAAAAAAAAACCCAAGTTAGAAGGAACACTATGGAGAAATTAACTCACTCAAAAATTCCTACAGTCTTTGGTCCCCTGTACATTCGGTCCACCCGTAATTATGAAGTTATGATCATGAGGAAACCAGTACTCTCTGAGATAGAGCGCGGTTCCTACGCCCCAATGTAACTGTGTGCCCCTATCCAGAAAAGTCTGGAAACCTGCAGTCACCAGGTCAGCTGAGGCAAGTGCCCCGTGTGCCCTTGCACCATTGCTCACCCCATAAAGACAGAAAACGTAGCTTGCTCCAGAGGTCAGATCCTGCTAGATCCACAGCACTACTCAAGAGGAAGCTCCTCTTCTGTGGGGGAAGGCAGGCAGGAGGCGGGATCCGTATTTACAAAGCCACCTCAAAAAATACTCTCATTGTAAAGTACACAACTGCTTCTTCAGAGCTTTTGCCAATAGATTGCACTGAAGTTGACTGGCTCACATTTCTCTGCCAAAGAGGTAGCATCAACCTAACTCATGTCTGTAAGTCAGGCCTCCCCAATGCCCATGCAACTTGGAAATACTGTTTGGTAAGTGTACAAGCAGAAGGACACGTTGCTGCTCTGCCAGTTTCCAATGCTCATTCTTTTATGGTACCCTAAAGATGTCATCTCATTGTACTAAGATGCCCCTTAGCTGAAGGGGAGAGGAAAGACTACTGAAAGGACAAGGCTTTCCAACTGGAAAGCCACCCTGCTCATCACTGGGAGGGGGGAGGAAGAGAATTGTGTTAGCCCCTTAGATGTTTTACCAAGAATATAAAAAGCACATGTGCAACTTCAGAAAAGATTTTATTCTACAGTAACTTGGATCTAAAGGCAGACAGCATGGAATGGAGTTAAATACAGTTCTCTGTGTTTCTCCCAAGCCACCCAAGTCAGTATTTGAGACAAACAGCTCATCGTCTATGCTGTTTGCAACACACGTCAAGAAAAGCTGGACAATGGTGTGCAACTGTAATGAAAATCACCTGAAGGGCTGCAACCACCTGCTTGGAGGTGAACAAGTCCCGATCAGAGGGACTGGAAAGTTACTAAAAGGTTGGACACGTGCCCTACTACCTTAAAACCAGGGAGGTACTGGGCTCTGCTCAAGCTTCAGCTCCTTAACGTGTACAGGCATCCAAATACCCCGTCCCCAGACAGTGATGGGAGGAGTGGCCAAACTAACCCAGACGTAGGTGCTGTGGGAGTCTGTCCCAACCATAGTAAAAGCCCAGAGAAAGCATCTCTCCTACTGGAAACAATTTTTCAGATCTTTAAATCCTGAAAAGAGTTAATTGTCAATGATTTGACAAGACACTGGGAGTACTGCCAAATGCACTTTTACAGGAATGACTGACAGGACAAAGTGTATGAACTACATCAGTCTAAAGTAATTTAGAGAAAAAAGTCCCCCTGCTAGCTAGCATAGTCTAGCCAGAAGGAAACAGAGAAATGCTAGGCCAAACCTGCATCTGTTTTGTAGAGTCTCCTAATACAAATCAAAACTTCTTAAACATCTGAGAGGTCATCCTTAAGCACAGGCAGCCAGCTTGTTCCCCTGCAGTCAACTGGGAAAAACTCAAAACCTCAAGTTTTTGGAGCCCA